GCTCCGGAAGCTGCACCCAGCCTCCTGTTTGCTGTCTCGGCGCCCAGAACTCCCCACCCTGCCGTCTGGCCCCTTGGACCCCAGAAACTGTCTCCCTGACCAAGGTCGCCGGGCACTCTGGTTGCCACGTGCCTGCGTGTGGGGTCTGTGGGGTGGAAAGCTCCGTCGCCCCGCCCCCCCAGGGCCGTGCCTACGTCTCCGCTTTCTGGGTACAGGTCCCAGGACTCCTTGTCTTTTTTTTATACTTTCTGTCTTCAGGCAGGTCTCCGGCGTTCTCTCTGCCCGTCTTTCCGTTTGGTCTTTTTACCTGTGTTGTTTTTTCCTGGTGAGGGGGTTGCTCATTTCGTCTTTTTATTCCTTGATCCTCTTTCTGTAGAATCATGGGTCTGGGGTGAGCGGGCTCAATGGATAACTCAGCCGAGGGGCCGACGGTTGCAAAACTACCCTGAAACCTGTGGGAGCTGGAATGCCACTGGCCCCCCTGCTTTTCCGGTTCTCACAAGTCTTCCACCTTTGACCGGGTGCAGTCTTACTGCTTTTTCTTGCTTGTTTTAGTGAAAAATACTTGGGTTTCCTTCTCTGACAGGTTTTTCTTGGCTTTTGCAGGCTTTGCTGTACAGTGAAGTTTTTTTTCTGTCATCCTGTAATGCTCTTACATGGCATGTTTTTGTTTTTTATTTCTAATTTTTATTGTGATTTGGATGGAAGTTTACAGAGGAAATTCTTTTTCTAAACAGCCGTCCACCCACATTTTGTTTCATGATACTGACTGCAGTGCCCACAAAGTAGCAGCTCTCTTCCCACTTCTCCCCCATAGTCACCTTCTCCCTGTCCTTCTTTCCTGTGCGTTCCCACCCCCTGAGCTGTCTTTGTGCAAACACTGCCTTCTTGGTGTCCCACGATTGATCATTCCGGGGAGTGTGTCTGTCTGATGTTAACGTCACTGTGTATGCCTGTCTGTTGTTTGGCTGGAAGCCACAAGACTGAGTTCAATTCCAGACCTGAGGAGTATAGGGGGCCGTAGTCTTGGGGGTCTCACCAGGCTCTATCAGACCAGCAAACCTGGTCTTGTGTTAGGATTTTGGGTTTTGTTCCACATTGTTCTCCCGCTCTCTCCAGGATCTCCTGCGCTGATCCCTATCCGAGTGGTTGATGGTGGTAGCCGGGTACCATGTAGTTCCTCTGGTGTCAGTTGTATAGGTTGACATTTACTTGGCCCCCTAGTCCCTTGGCCTGATTATTTCTGCGCATCTTTAGTTTTTTCATTCCTCTTTGATCTGGACGAGAAGGGACTCATTGTTGCCTCTAGATGACCTCTTACAAGCTTTTAAGACCCTGGGTGCTAGTCACCAATAGGATGTGGAACAGTGTGTTGTGTGGTATGTTACGCCCGTTGAGCCTGCTGCCCCCGCGACCATGGTCCCGAGCCTGCAGGTGCAGCTCCTCGCTCCCTCGGGGTGGGTGGCTGTGGCCAAGAAGTCGTCATAACTCTGCCCTGGTTGGCTCTGTTGCGTACCTGGGCATTCTTACAGCATACATAACACGGATGTGTATAGGAGGAGTATCGGCTGCGGATCTTATACGTGGTCACAGGTGTGTCCCCTTTTGCGTGGTGAGTTTTTTAACCTCTTACAACATTGGGATCTGCTCCAGGGCCACCGACTTTCAATTCCCTAGGCTGCTCTCTCCTCTGTCTTTGTCTTCTCTGTCTGTCTCTCACATGGTTCCCTCCTGGGTGTCTGCTGACAACAGAGGGTGCTGTGCAGGCTCAAGGGTGGGCGCTGGGTCCCGGGGCTTTGGCCATGACCCCCAATTGCAGTCTACCCACCGTGAGACGTGGGCTGGGCAAGCCCTTCCTTCCCGCTGTGCCTCAGTGGCCTCTCTCGTGAGTGTAATGGAGGCGCTCAGTCAGCTATGGGTTTCTTTCTGGAAATGTCCCCGGCCCTCCCACCTCAGATTTGTCTTCCTGGAAAGCAACCTCTTACCACGTGTGTTTTCTCTTGGCCGTCCACCCATTTTTCACTGCACCCAGAACATGGGAATGTGCCCGCCCTCTCTTCCTTAATTGCAGGACCTGCGTGCCCCTCCCCTGTGCTGCCCTTTTCTAAACCCCCCAGTCAGGTTTCCCCTCCAGCTCTGAAGCATCCCCCCATTCCGGGCCCTCCCTCATGCCCTCACTCATGCCCCCAGTCCCTGCTTGTAATGCCTTTGCCCCAGGGGCCTCCCTGCTCTGAGCCCTGATCCGGGCTCCCTGAGGAGGGGCATTTCCTACCCACAGGACCTCAGGAAGTTTTCTTCCAGGCGCTTGTCACAGCCCATCTGTAGCCCATCGATCGGTGCTGACAGAATGCAGGTCTCTGGGGGCACAGGATGGGGACTGGGGCCGACATCGAGGGGGGCTTCGGGTTTGGGGGCTTGACACCCCTTGGAACGAGAGAGCATTCCCTTGGACACCACTGTGCCCCCTCCCTCGAGGGTCCAGCCCCACCAGCCAGAATGGGACTCTTGGTTGACCAGCAGGTGCTCAGGTCTCAGGTCACGTTCTGGTCAGTGGGGACCCCTGCTTTTTATCTGGGGTCTCCTCTAGTTTCACCCTTCCCTTTTGGAAGGCAGACCCGACCACATCTTCCTGCTTCAGGGCCACGGTCTCCTGAACCGGGCCAGGTACTTCCTAAGGACGGCAGCTGGGCCCCACACACCCCTACACCTTTATAGCTGCTCACCTGCTTTGAGAGAGCCCTGCTAGCACAGGGGCTAAGCCACTCTGCAGGGGAAGGATGAGGCAGTGGGCTTCTGTAAAAATGAACAGCCTTGGAGACCCTGTGGGGCAGTTCCACTCTGTCCTCTAGGGGCGCTGTGGGTCGGAATTGACTCCAGGCAGTGGGTGTGGTTTGGGCTTTGCTTCCGTGAAGACTGACAGCCTTGGAGACCCTGGGGGCAGTTCCACTCTGTCCTCTGGGGGTGCTGTGGGTCGGAATCTCTGTATACTATGGGGGGGGGGTCTTGAAGGTGATGTTTTCCTCACCTCCATGCTAGGCTCTTGCTTTTTTTGTAAACTATTGTGTATCTTGTTATCTAGTAAATTACTCATCGTCATGCCATCCCAGCTTCTTAGGAAAACAGCAGCCCTGTGGCCCTGCCAGTCTCCCTGCCCTCAGCCACCTTCATTTCTGGGGAGTCTTTGGGAGTTTGCTGCCTTCTGAAGGTCATGGTGGTGTTGCGCCCCGAGTTGGTGGGGTGAGAGCCATTCGCTCCCCAGGGAAGATCAGCAGTCATTCTTGTACACCCCCCCCCGACCCTCTCATGCCCTTCCTGACAGCTCTGGAAAGATCTGCACCCCGTCCTCCGCCAACAGTCACCTGGGCTTTGGGTTCCAGCACCGTGGACCAGGGGCAGGGACCAGGTCTCCCTGCTCGCACACCGTGCTACCCTTCCCTCGCCCGCCAGGCCGCTGTCCTCGGGGTGGCATCCTGACAACCTGGCTGGGTATCTGCTGCCTTTCCTCCAGGCCAGCTTGCTTTTTCTAAAACTAAGATTTGATTGTTTTGTTGAAATTCGTGTAGGAACTTAGGTTCCCATTTGACGATTTTGGCGCAGATCGTTGAGCGACGTTGGTTGCGTATTGTTCGGTGTCGATGTCTTTTGTTGCATTCTTTCTGGGGCTTCCCCGGTGTCCAGTGCCTGGTGCCCCTGCCCCTTGTCTTCTCATCTCGGCTGTGGAGTCCTTGTTGGCTCTCTGATGTCATCGGTGGGCTTAAACGGGCCACCGCACTCAGAGGTGGCCACGCCAGTCTCTAGTTTGGGAGCCAGTCTCCTACTTCGATAAAAGGTGATCTTGGGATCGGCTCGGAGTTTAGAGTGTCTCCTGGTGACTGTCTCAGGCAGCCTTGTAGTCTCAGCTGTTCATGTAAGTCTTGACTCTTTTCTGAGCGTTCTCATCTGCGTTTCTCTCTCAGACTGTCAGGGCCTGTCTTTTGTGACCCTGATTGGAACAGGTAGCAGCAGCTGGGCACCGTCCACCTCCTCTGGTCCCGTGGCGAAAGAGGCAGTTGTTCCTGCAGGCACTTAGCCGCCCACTTCATTCCTCCTCCGGTGTCCGATGCTGCCTGCTTGTTCCAGGTGACTACAAACCAGTTGTGTCCTGCATGGCCACCTATAAGCTTTTTTATTATTTTTATTTTTTATTGTGATCTGTGTGAAAGTTTACAGAGAAAACTCATTTTTCCATACAGCAATTGATACACGTTTTATTTCATGACATTGATTGCAATCCCCACAGTGTAACAGCTCCCTTCCTGCTTCCTCCTCGTAGTTACCTCTTCCCTGTGTCCTTCCCTCCCATGTGCTCCTGCCCCCTGAGCTATCTAGCTGTCTCCCTGTGCAAACACTGCCTTTCTGTTCTCCCATGATTGATCTCTCCAAGGAGGGTATCTACCTGATGTAAATGTTTAGCTCATATGCCTGCTGTGTGGCTGGAAGCCATAGGAGTGAGCTCAGTCCCAGGCCCAAGCCTAAGACTAGGGGCCATAGTCTTAGGGTCTCCCCAGGCCTTGTGGACCAGTAAGTCTGGTCTTTCTTGTGATTTGGGATGGTGTTCCACATTGTTCTCCCCGCTCTGTCCAGGGTCTCCTGCACCGGTCCCGTGTGAGTGGTTGACAGTGGGAGCTGGGCACCGTCTAGTTCTTCTGTTCTCATAGTTGTACAGGCTGAGGACAGCATGGTGGACCAGTCCCTTGGAGTAACGGTTCCTATAAGTCTGGTTTTCTTAATTTTTCTTTGCTCTGGATGAGGAGAGACCCATCATTGCATCTAGATGGCCGCTTGCAAGTACAGGGGACAGTTTCTTGTTTTTTTTTTTAGGATTTGGGTGAAGATTTACAGAGTAAATTCACTTTTCATACAGCAGTTCACATATACTTTGTCTCATGTCATTGACCAAAATTTACAATGCAGCAGCTCCCCTCCCACTTCCTCCCCATAGTTACCTCCTCCCAGTGTCCATCCCTTCATACTCTTCTGCACCCTGAGCTATCTCCCTGTGCATAAGCAGCCCTTCCTTCTCCCATGATTGTTCTCTCCAGGGCATGTGTCTACTTGCGGTAAATGTTTAACTCACATGCCTGTACTTTGTTTGGCTGGAAACCACAGGTGTCGGTTCAATTCCAGACCTGAAGGGCAGCTAGGGGCCATAGTCTCAGTGGTTACACCAGGCTCCATTGGACCAGCAAACCTGGTCCCCACCTTTTTTTTTTTTTGCCTCCAAATGATTTTGAGTTTTGTACCACATTGTTCTCCCTCTTTATGCAGGATCTCCTACATCCCTTTCAAGTGGATGGCAGTGGTAGCTGGGCACCATCTAGTTCTTCTGGTCTCATAGTTGTATAGGTTGCAGATCGGATGGTGTACCAGTCACTAGGACTGATTGTTTCCATTAATTTTGGTTTTCTTCTTTCTTCTTGACGAGGAGAGACCCGTTGTTGCATCTAGATGGCAGCTTCCTAGCTTTTAAGGTCCCAGTCGCTACTCGCCAAAGTAGTAGGTGGAACAATGTTTTGTATAGTATGTTATGCCAATTGAGTTTGATGTCCCCTGCGACTATGGTCCCAAGCCCGCAGGATCAACTACTTGGTCCCTCTGTGTAGCTGGCTGTGACCAAGTAATGACCATAACCTTGCCCCTTGTCAGCTCTACTATACACAGGGGACAGTTTCTTGACAGCAGCTTCATCACTGTGATTTTCCCATCCCCGTTAGCCCCTCTTGTCCCGCTCTCTCCCACCCCGGTAACCACTAATGAACTCTGCCTTTTCTTGTCTCTGTAAGTGAGGTCGCACAGTGTTTGTCCTCCTGGGGCTGACTTACTCCTGGTGTCCTCCAGCTGCGGCCGCGCTGTGGCACGGATGCACCCGTCCTCTCCTCTGCTGAGTGGCCTCCCGCCGTGTGCTGCCACCACACTCTGTGCTCCAGACATCCCTCGACAGGTGCTCGGGGGCTCGAGTGTCTTAACTTCAGGCTGGTTGATGAGACACCAGAGGCCATGCCATGCCACCCCCTGTGTGCGACGGCTCTGGGGTCCTTCCTTTGTCCCTGTGTTCTGTACTCTCAGGAGGGCACGGGGTAGAGGTGGCCGAGGGTGTCCCTCTCCCCCAGGATGCTGGCAGGCCCTGTCAGTCTGCAAAGTCGGCAGTTTTGCCTTGTTTGCTTTTTAACTATTGTTTTTACTTTTATTGAATTTCTGATGTTTTTTTCCCTTTTCTTTCTCCGCCGTGTCTTTCCCGAAGGCTGCTAGTCTGCTGGCGCTCTTGGACCGGTCTCCGTCTTTTTGTTTTCTTCCAGTTTTGGCTTTTTCTTGATGTTGGTTCTAATCTTCCAGGTCTCCCTGGGCTTTTTCACCTGGGTCCCTGGGTTTTCAGTTTCGAAGGGCTTGTTTTCTGCCTACTCTTCCTGTTTCCTAACACCCTGTTCTTGTCTCACGAACGGAAGCCCTCTTACCATCCTGACAGGATGCGGATGAGTCTGCCTGCCCGTGGTTTCTGCTTCCCCTCAGCTGCTTGGCCCTCCTCTTTGTTGTGGTTTCCATCCTCTGAGAGGAGACTGGCCGAGATGCCTGGTGAACCCTGTGGGGCCCTTCAGCCGTCTTCTAACGCCTGAGGGAGGGCCAGCAGGGGCTGGGCTGGGCGCTGGCATTGGCTTTGGACTCTGAGCTGGGCTGGGCTGGGCTTGAGCTTGGGGCTGGGCTCTGAACTCTGAACTTGTCTGGGCTGTGACCTTGGGGTACTTGGCTGTGGGGGCAGGGCTTTGACAGCTGGTTCCCCCCAGGTCCTTCCTCAGATCCCCGTGAAGAGAGGTGGCCCCCAGGGGGCAGGGGTCCTCGGTGAGTGGCTGGCCCCCCCACCCCAACCTGCCCTGTGTGGCTCCAGGCGGGGGGGGACACCTGTTGGCAGCCCCTCCCCCTCCAGATGTGGCCCACGAGGGGGGCGGGCAGGTGAGAGGGTCTGGGTGGGGGCTGCAGGGGAGGGGTGCCTGCTGGAGCCTCTCTCACCCCCTTCTTCCAGGGGTGCACCTGGAGGGTCCATTCATTAGCCAGCAGAAGCGGGGTGCGCACCCCGAGGCCCACCTCCGCTCTTTTGCGGCCGATGCCTTCTGTGATGTGCTGGCCACCTACGGGCCCCTGGACAACGTCTCTGTGCTGACGCTGGCCCCCGAGCTGGAGCACAGCCAGGAGGTGATCCGGGCGCTGACGGCCCGCGGCATCCGCGTGTCTCTCGGTGAGGGGGCCGTCTGTGGGGCGGAGGCGGGCTGGGCCAGAGCAGGCTCTGACCCGCCCCCCACGCAGGGCACTCTGTCGCTGACCTGCGGACGGCTGAGGCTGCGGTGCAGAGCGGGGCCACCTTCATCACCCACCTCTTCAATGCCATGTTGCCTGTGAGTGCGGCCCTGCTCCTGGGTGGGGTGGGGGCGCGGGGCCCACAGCACTCATTTGTCCCCTCTGGCCAGTTCCACCACCGCGACCCAGGCATCGTGGGACTCCTGACCAGCGACCAGGTGCCCCCTGGCCGCCGCATCTTCTACGGCATGATTGCTGACGGCATCCACACCAACCCTGCCGCCCTGCGCATCGCCCACCGGGCCCACCCCCAGGGTGAGCAGCGAGGGGGGCAGGGTGGGGGCAGGCCAGCTGATGGCCCGCAGGCCCTCACGCCCCCACCTCCCCCAGGGCTGGTGCTGGTCACGGATGCTGTCCCTGCCCTGGGACTGGGCAATGGCCGCCACACGCTGGGACAGCAGGTGGTGGAGGTGGAGGGGCTGTCGGCCTACGTTGCAGGTGAGCGAACCCACCCCCTGCCTGCTCCCCATGGAAGCAGCCCCTCGAGGTGGGAGCCGAGAATCCGGGCTTCCCCGGCAGCCCCCCGAGTCTCCTCCCCAGTGTCCCAGCGGCTCTGCACCCCCAGCTCCGCCCTCTGCTCTCCAGGCACCAGGACGCTTTGCGGCAGCATCGCCCCCATGGATGTCTGTGTGCGGAACTTCCTGCAGGCCACAGGTCAGTGAGGCCAGGGAGGCCCTGTCTGAGGCAGCCTCGGAGCCCGGGGAGGGCAGGCCCCAAGCAGCCTTGGGCCTCGGAGCTGACAGTGGGTGAGGGGCCAGGGGCATCACTGAGCTGGGTCCTGGCACAGGCTGCAGCGTGGAGTCGGCCCTGGAAGCCGCATCCCTTCACCCTGCCCAGCTGCTGGGGCTGGAGAAACAAAAGGGGACCTTGGACTTCGGTGCTGATGCAGGTGAGTAAGACTGGAGGGCTCTGGGGGGCCTGGGGACGGGGACAGGGTGGGTGGGGGCTCTGCCTCGTTCCTTACCCTCAGACAGCCCTATGTGGCTCCCTGCTGTCTGAGACGGGTCAGGGAGTCCCACACAGGCCTTGTCCCAGGGCCTCAGTCTCCCCACAGACCGGTCCCCTCACTGCTGTCTCCCCCAGACTTTGTGGTGCTTGATGACACCCTCCACGTCCAGGCCACCTACATCTCGGGTGAGCTGGTGTGGCAGGCGGAGGCGGCCAGGGAGTGACCGAGGACCACGGTGCTGATGCCACCCACAGCTGGGCACTGTCAGTGAGCTGGTCTCAGGAGTGGCCGGGCCGAGTGGGCGGGGCTGGGACAAACATGCTTCTGCAGGCACCTGTGCCTCTGGAGTCTTCTTGCTGCTGCTGGGCCCTGTCACCCGGTGGGCGGGGCGGGGCGTGTGGCTGGGCCCTGTCACCCTGGCCTGCCCCCTGGTAGGCGGAGCACGCCGTGTGGCTGGTGGGGGGGGCTCAGAGAGTGAGGCCTGTCTGACCACAGGTAGGCGGTACCTTTGGGGATGACTCCATGGCCGGGGCGGTGCAGAGGGGGACCGGCAATGGGCTGGGAGCCCTGAGCACCCCAGGTGGCACGAGGGCCTGGAAGCCTGACTCCTGACGGGCTGGAGGGAAGGGCTCTGGTCTCAGACTGCGAGGACAGGACGGAGAAAGGGATCAGGGAGAGGAGGTGCCCCACACCCGTGACCTTTGGGAGGAGCTCCAGGAGGAACCCAGCCACTGCTCCCTGCGCTGCCCTGCTCTGTCCCCCACCCAGAGCCCCCTGAAGAATCGCGCTTCCATCTTAACTCTCCTGGCCCCTGGCCCCGGCCTGGGTGGGTATGAGGAGTACTGCGGGGCCCGGTGGGCTGTGGGTGACCCTGCCTGGGGCTGGTCGGCATCTGAGGCTAGGTGCATAGGCCCCTCGCTGGTTAGCATCCAGGTGACGCGCCTAGCTCTGAGGTCAGCTGGGATGTGGGGTGTGGGGTTCCAGCCCCAGGTCATCTCCACATTGACACTGGCGGATCCCTGGTAGGGTGACTGTTCAGTGCTTGGCTTCTCACCAAAAGGCCCAGGGCCCATGCCCACCAGCGGCTCCACTGAAGAAAGCAGGCGCTCGGCTCCCTGGAGGCCGCAGCTCAGCCCCGTGGGCCGGTTCTGCCCGTCACACAGTGTCACCCAGTGACAGCAGCCCCTCCTCATTTGCGCAGGGCAGGGGCCGCAGAGCGGGGGGGGTGGGGGGGGGGTGGGATCTCAACACAGGCTCATCCACTGTTGAAGGCAGGCTCCCAGTTGATGTGAGAAACCAGTCCTGGGGCCCAGCTGTGTTCAAGGTGGGGTCCTTAGCGGGGAGGGCGGTGGAAGGCAGAAGCCCATGGTGGGGGGCCTTGTTGGCTCAGGAGAGGAGTGTGGGGTCCTGACCTGCAGGTGGCGCTGTGATAGTGGGTGCATACCTGAGCCCCCTGCACCCCTCCACCCACCCTGGCAGTGTGTGGGGGCTTGGAGGTGGTCTGGGCAGGGTCTGGGGGTAGCTTGTCTCCAGGCCAGTGGCCGGGAGGGCACAGGCGGCTGATGGATGTAGGCGCTTTGGCCATCTGGCCAGAGGCCCTAAAGTGATCCCGGTTTGTCCCGGTTTTCAGAGGGGAAAGTGGGGCCCCATGTCCTCTGGCTGGGGAGCCCCAGGCATCCACCCAGCCGCACTCTGGCCATGGGAGAGCAGAGGGGCCTCACTGAGAGGGGGCCCAGCCAAGGTTCTAGACGAGAAGGCGCCAGGGATGACAAGCCCAGAGGTAGGCGGGCTGGAGCGGGGTGGCCCGGATTGGCACGGAGCTTAGCCCGGCTGTCGCAGTGGTAATTTGAGTTTGTTCCCGGTTCGGGGAGCCCGCTGCCGGGCTTCAGACAGAAGGATGCGGGGGGCGGGTACCGTCCTGGGCCAGGCTGTGTGGGGGGGGGGTGGCTGGGGGCTGGGAACAACCAGGGGACGTCGCCCAGGGGCTGGCTGAGTCACCGTGGGGCTGAGTCACCGTGGACGGCTTGCGCTCACGAAGCTGGAGAATTGCGGGGGTGCGGTGGAGGCGCCGCGCTGCGGATGAGACACCCCGGCGGCGCTGGGGGAGCGCGTGACGGCCCTGCTGGCTGCAGCCAGTCGGTGTACGCTGCTTGTGCGTGAGCGGCCGGAGCCAAGGGCCCGTTGTCCTCAGAGGCGCGGAGGAAGCGCTGCACCTCCGCGGCCGCCGTCCCTGGAGCCGGGCCGGCCACCTGGCGGCCACGCTGGGCGTTGCAGGGGCGCGGGCCGCGCCTGCAGCTCGCGCCGCAGCGGGGGCGCTGGGAGGTTCTCGGTGGTCCCGGCCGGTGGCGAGAGGCCCCAGGGGCAGTCGGCGGGGCTGCGACAAGCCCCGATCGTCCCCTGCAGCGAGTCCGCGCGCTCCCGCTCGCCGGGATCCTGCGCTCAGGCGACGGGGCTACGCGGGCCGCGAGTCCTGGAAGGGGTGTGGCCCTTGAGGACGCGGCCGCCGTGGGAGGGGCCCCTGAGGGCGGGGGCAGGGGTGCGGCTTTGCTGGGTCCGTCGGGCCAGCAGTGGGCGCGTGTCGCCCGAGACCCGGTTCAGGCGTGACCAAGAGCGAGCGCAGAGACTTGGGGAGCCTGGCGCCCCGCGCCTCCCCACCGGGCAGCGCCGATACGGGGGGCTTCCCTGCCGACCCCCTTCCACTGTCCAGGCCACGTCCTCAGCCCCCTTTTCTGCTCAGGGTTCGCGTCCACGCCTCGCTGCGCCCCGAGACCCGCCCTCCCTGGCCTGCCCACCCCCCACCGCCCTCAGCAGCTGGGGGCCCTCCAACCTGCCGCTGGGGGTTGGATATCTCGGTTTGTTTTCCCAAAAGGGGATCGCAGCTTGCAGTTTCTAAGGACACTGAGTGGAGCGTGGCCCCAGGACCGTCTCCCTGCGACGCCTGCCCACCCCTCGCTGCAGGGCTGCTCTGAGTGGTTAACCGTGGGCCCTGGTGGTGAGGTCGGGGGCTCCTGGGCCCCCACGTCTGAGCGTGTCTGGAAGGTGGGCGGGGAGCTGGGCACATGGTGTCCTCGGCCTTGGGGAGCGTGTGGCTGCTAACTAGTGGTTGAAACAGCCCAGATTTCGCTGTACCGTTGTGAAGGTCAGAAGTCAAAGGGACCTGGCCGGCCTGAAATCAAGGTGTCGCAGGGCCGCGTCCCTCCGGGGGGTCCGCTTTCTTGCCTGGCACAGCTCTGGAGACGCCCCCAGTCCTCGGCTCGTGGGCGTCAGTCACCGACCGGCAGCCGCAGGCCCGGTCTCTGCCGCGCAGTCACCGACTCACATGACTCCCCCGCCGTTTTTGAAGGCCCCTCGTGATTACATGAAGAGCTCTGTTGGCACGGTGGTTAAAGCACTCCATTGCTAACCAACAGGTCGTGGGTTTGAACCCACCAGCTGCTCCAAGGGGGAAAGATGAGTCAGGCTGCTTCCATAAAGATTTACAGCCTCGGAAACACTCTGGGGCAGTTCTGTCCTGAAGGGTCGCTGTGAGTTGGCGTGGACTTGACGGCAGAGAGAGAGAGAGAGAGAGTGTGTGTGTGTGTGTGTGTCCACCTGGACAATTCCTACTTCAAGGTCAGGATTAAAATGATACCCACTGCTGTTAACTGGATTCCTACTCACAGCGCCCCTAGAGGACAGAATTGAACAGAGTTTCCAAAGTTGTAATTTTTATTTTTTTTTAATAACTGAGGAGCATTTTTTGTTAAAGAAAGAAATCGTAGTTATTTGAGTTATGAGATTAAAATGTACCTGTTGTAACAACTTAAGAGAGCATGGAGGCGTCCTTGTCTGTCCATGCAGACATTCCACTCAATTAAAAATTAAGCAATGGGTGTATCCTACCCTGTTGCTAGCCTGTCACTCTTCACTTAATTTTGATGTTTTTGTGGTTCGTTGCGAGGCTGTGATTTTTTTTTTTTTTAGGATTTGGGTGAACATTTACAGAGTAAATTCACTTTTCATACAGCAGTTCACATATACTTTGTCTCATGTCATTGACCAAAATTTACAATGCAGCAGCTCCCCTCCCACTTCCTCCCCATAGTTACCTCCTCCCAGTGTCCATCCCTTCATACTCTTCTGCACCCTGAGCTATCTCCCTGTGCATAAGCAGAGTCCGTGATTTTTAAGGAAGCAGACTGTCAGGTTTTTTCCCGTGGAGGAGCTGGTGGGTTTGAGCTGCCACCTTTCAGTTGGCCCCGAGCACTTTAACCACTGTGCCACAGACCTTAGCCACCTTAATCCCCCCTTGCCATTCAATAGAAGCAATTCCAGGCTCCAGAGATTAGACATGGACGTCTTTGGAGGGCCCGCCGTTCTGTCTCCTGTGTCTTCTAGGGGAAAGGCTTGGTATCGGGGTCCCCCCGGGGGACCTATATTCTTAACAGTGGACGGAGATGCTCGTTTCTCTACATCCTGCCAACACTGGGCGTTACCTGCCTTTTGAGTTGTTTCTAGTTTTCGGAGTTGGGCCGTTTTATGGTCGGGGAAGTTGAGGTCCAGGGACAGCTAATACTCACTGAGGTCTCACCCAGCTTCCTGTCTTTTTCCGGCCCCCAGTCTCATTCTTTTCTTTGGCACGACTTACGTGGGCAGATGTTTACCCGAGGGGCTACTTGGAAACCCTTTGATGACCTTGGCATCTTTCTCCGCTCGTCCATCCACAGCTGCTTGTACATAAGCACTGGAACCCTCAGGCATGGGGACCAGGGACTTAAGGGGCAGAGGTAGGAGACCAGGGCAACTGAGGCCTGCAGCCGCGGGGCAGCCTGGAGATGAAAGCCTTTGTCAGCATCCTGGCCGAAACCTCGTGAAAGACTCAGAGAGCCGCCCATTGTAGCTGTGCCAGGTTCCTGACCCCTTAAACCACGGGCCTGTAACGGTTTGTTGCAGGCATCTGAGTTCTGGGATCATTCACTCCGTGGCGGTAGGTTCTCCACAAGCCGTGTGACCTGGGGCAAGTCCCTGGTGTCTGAACCCCGGTTTCCTGACCTCACTGTGAGTGTTGAAGAGGAGGCACGGGAGGGATTCAGGAAACGGGGGACCAAGTGCCACGGCCCTTTGGGCAAGTGCCTGGTACGCGTTCAACAGAAAAACCTGACCGTTGGTATCCAGGCCGTTCTAATTCACGATGGCCCCGTGTGTTGGAGAGAGGAGCCGTCCCACAGGGGTCCCTGGGATGGCCCCGTGTGTTGGAGAGTGG